CAGTTTACCCTCTCATTGGATATACTGAAAAAACAAGTAATGGTTAAATGATCTTGGTAATTTCTTTGATCTTTGCGTGCAACAGAAACATGTGCCCTACCGTCTGTAACTGCTCTTTTCTCTCAAAAAATAGTTCTGAAATTTTAAGAAAATATTAAACATGAGAATTTTGTTTCTGATTCAAAATTTTCCTCGTTTTTGACTATTTTTAAAACATCAATATTTTACGACTTTTTCACAGAAAAATGTCTTCGAAAAATCTAACACTAAGATTTTTCTGGGTAACTCCATTAGCTCTATTCAACCCAAGCTAAAAAAAACGACCCTGCATCGCTTTTTTTTTCTGCTGTGAAAGTTACTAGATGCAGCTAGGTAACTAGATTTTTTTTACTCATTTAGCTAGATGCTGCTGCTGGAGCATCGACTTATCTAGCTGCATCGCCCGATGCATCGACTGTAATCCGCAAAATAAAAAGGTGAATGCCTCATTTCACCGATATCTGGCGACATTTGTGCGATACACTGATCGATGTATCTAGAAGTGCATCGAGCGATGCATCTAGATAACCCGATGCTCCAGCAGTTGCATCTAGCTAAATGAGTAAAAAAAATCGGCCGATGCACCAGCAAAGGCATCTAGATATTTCTGCTAGAGAGGTTTTGCTTGGGAACTAGCACAAAACAATGAGTAAAAAAGATGTTGCTCCCTTTTTGAATTTCCGGCACCTTAGTATTCTCACTGTAATCAACAATACGACTATCTATAGCTTTCGAAACTCGATGTCACAGAAACATAACCGGCGGTGGTTGGTTTGATCGAACGACTTTAGAAAGGAGAAGAAATTGAAGCAAGAGCCTAGTGGAGTAAGCTCTTACAATAAACAATCAGAAATGTGGTAAAAAATTAACAATCAATCAACTGAAAGGAAGTTTTGTCATATCAGGTCCGTTGAATTGGGAGATATTGGATATATAAAAGGTAATATCAGAATTGTTGGTCAGAGTGTGTGTGCTGTGTGGTATGAAAATAATTTTATAGTTTCCTAGAACAAATTTAATCAGTAAATTAATCAATAAATCATTCAATTTTAAGAAAATCGAAACGATATTTTAGCCCTGGCACCCTATGGCATATCATCAGTACAGAAAATTTAAATTTACAAGTTAATAAGAGAAGTAACAATTAAAATGTACGACTGAAGATGTTGATTTGAATGAAGCCATTACCTGGTTTCTTTCAGAACAAAGTAATTTAAGCTCAAAATAAAGTTTTCAAAACATTAATGTAGCAATTCTACAATGCGAAAAATAGTGCCCTTTGGTTGTGGTTTAGAGCACATGAAAGTGCCCTGCTTTTCGATTCCACGTTGACGGTGGCGCACTTAGGGCGCTTTCAACATGCCCATCTCTGATTTCAATGATTTATATGTCGATCGATAGAGCATAGAAAGCTAGTAAAAACACTAAAAGGATTTATCCCCATGGCACCTAAAGACCCGGTTTTCTGGAAAATCAGCTTTTCAGAAACTCTAAAATCTAACCTAAACCTTTCTTAATGAGTTATAATTGTAGCTTGCACGTTTCTGATTAAAATGAGACATGTCCCACCTCTACGTGACTTTTCTTTGCAAAGTTATAGAATTTACAAGAAAAGCCCTAAATTAATTTATTCTTATTGCTGAGCTTTGAGCTGGCAGTGAACATTTGGGCTTCGAACTTAAATGAACTTAAATTTAGGATATTTCACGGCATAGAATAAGCGCGAAAAGACCAAAGAGCAAGATTTAGCGATCTTAAGAAAGGTTATTCTTGATAAACAAACAAAACTTTTTAGATGAAAATAGAAGTTGAAATTTTGCAACAGGTAGAGCAGAGACATAATTTAATAGACAAACACGTGAAAAGAATGTATGCCTCAACTGGAACTCGAACACAGGACTTTTCCAGTTAGAATTTTTCTGAGACTGATAATAGAGTTAAAATAAATGGAATGAATGTATTTATGCTCTCAAGAAGAATTTTTAGTTGTGTTACTAAATGAATAGAGTCTTCATTAATATATCATTGTGGCACAGCCTGGAAAAGAAAACGATATATATTAAAATTGTACACCAGTATTTCTTCTTCCTTTTCCTTCTATAGCTTCGACTGAAACAAATACACGTATATAAAAGTGAGATAATTCGGAAAAGTTTAGTCAAAACCGCTCGTACAAGGAAGGACCATGTTTGTTTCGTTCAATCAAGTACGCTGAAATATAGTTTGGGAGTTCGCGCACCTTTCTTTCTTTGGCACACAACTATGATTATTAGTATGTACTTTCTCTATGTCACAACTCAAATTATAATTCATTATACTTAATTTTAAGGCAGTCTAGTCTGATAATTCACTCTGGTTTCACACTGAACGAAACAAACATTTCGACAAACGAAGACTACAGAATTTGTTGTTATTCAGATAAAGTACTTTATTTAGAAGATGTTACTTATTGAAAACACCTGAACTGCAGGCATAATTCCAAAAAATAAAGATGAAATAAATGGTGGTATTCTTCCTACCAGCTCATTTTGGAAATTTTAGAAGCTAAATTGGACTCCGAATCTGCGAAACACGAGCAGAATGGTAAAGAGGCTGCCGGTCATTTGTACGAACCTATCTAGTCCTACGATTTTGGAGATAAAAATCTTTCTTTTGCTTCATTCTGATCGTGATACTTGTGAGAAAAAAGTTAAGTATTCTTTCTGGAAAATTTTGTTTTGTTGCCAAGAAATTCAATTTTTTCAAAATCAGTGAAAAAACAATGAAATTGGGCTTGTATGTTGCCGTTTCCTGTATCAAAATTCAATTTTTATCCATGTTTTTAAAACTGGATAATCCAATATTTTTACAACCGTTCTCAGTATCGGCTCTACAGACTCGTCGAAACCCAGATCTTCTGAAAGAACTTGATAGACTTAATCAACTGGACAAAATAACCAAAAGGCGTTTTGAATCTCGAGTGTAAACAGTGAATATTTTGATTTTACTAGACATGTCTTAGATACAAATTTTGTATACAATGTTACTCTCACATTTCTCTTCGTTTCGTACTTTTACGTATTGTGTTTTAAAAAATGATCACACAGATCTGATGACTGCCAGAAACAATACTCGACTCATTGGCTTCTTTCCCGTTTTACTTATGTTCTCAACAATTAACACTGAACAAAATTCATAAACTATTTCAGATTATCATAAAAAAGCATTATGGGTGCAAACAATCGATCAGTTGGCATACTTCTCTATATCATACTCTCAGCGGGTCAATATATATAGACCCATTCTTAGTACTTTGAGACCCACGGCACGTTATCTGCAAATACGATCTTCAGCAAGGTATTCTGACTAACCATCTGTCGAAACCGGCCTTTCAGTCAAGGGTCAGTGAATCGCAGATGAACGTTACTTGTACTGTATTTGTTTATCATTACCGGAGATTTTTTTCTCGTATAAGCAAATCAATCAATGCTTGTTTTTCTAAATTTGAAAATAATAATAAAAAGTATAATTTATAAAAATTTCCTATTGTTGTTTGAAATACATCATAGAATAAAAGTGATGTCACTGCTATCGTTGCATTTGTAATTAAATCAATGCTCCAATCAATAAAGTGTTTTTTATCATGTATATGCTCAATAAGATCAATCATTTTATTCATGATGATGTTTTGTAATTCTTCATGATGTCGCCTATCATTAAAATAAAATGAGAAATCATTTTGTTTTTTATTAATATCATTTTTTAGCATTGTATTTGATATATCATATGGAAATTTTGATAAACATTGATCAAATAAATTTGAAAATTGTGGAGAAAATAAACCATTTTTGATGAGATATTGATATATGATTGTTGAAACGTTTGATAAGATAAAAGTTGTTTTTATTCATTATCATTAAGATGTTCAATCATTAAACTCGACCAGCCATCAAATGAAACTTCATTGTACAGATGGTTAAGTGTATTTCGTTAGAGATGAAATATAATCCATGTGTGTTTATTGTTATTTTTCACAGACCCATCGTAAATATTAATTATATTATGTTTTAATGATAATATATGTTTACCATCACTATAATAATCAACATGAATTAATAAAAGTTCTGTTGTTTTTGTTTCAGATTGATAATGAAAAAATGAAATTTTAGTTTATTAATTAATTCAAGTTCCGATTTAAAATTAGCAAATTTGACTTTATCAATTTTTATATTGTTACTAGTTCGATAAATTACTTTATCATAAATTTGTGTATACGTGTAAATTACTTGTCGATTTATATTTCTATCGATGTTTTGAAACATATTGAGAAAGTTGATTGTGCTTTTATGGAATAATACTGCTTAATTAATTGAAAATATTCATCATTTTTGTTAGTACCTTTCAAGGCCAATAACAATAGTAAATGGGATGATGATACAGGAACCAACAAAATCTCATAATAACTGATAATATCATCTTGTATTTTCGATTCAAACGCATCGATAACTAGATTAGTGGTCGTTCATTTATAATGACTTAGAACAAGAGTATTATTAAACAATATCACCTCTCAGCATTCTAAAGAAACGATGCCAATTACTTTTCGTCTGCTCATTTCGTCATGATATTCTCCGAGTGATCTTCTCCTGTTTAGGGAAAATGAACGACATATGTGAATAACTGCTTACATATGTAATCACAATTAACATTAACAAATAAATGTTGTATCCCAACAAAATGTTTTGTAACTGTTTTAATTATTAAGAGTTGTTCTAATCAAAATAATAAATGTTGTGATTGTCCAATGTAATAATTGTATTAAATCTTTAAATTCAAATATATATGTTTTTGAAATCGGTTAAAAAACGGTGGGTTCGATTTTTCCACTTTTTTTGCATTAACTAAAACAATACAATAAAATTGATTGTTAACTAAACATTTTTGGATGGTATGATGAACCGAATGCTATACGACAATATTTTTTATCTCCTGATATTGTAAAAATTCTGATTACATAAATCATATAATGATGAAGAACATTTATCCATTTTTCGCATTATTAATGTAACTGGTTTTTCAGCATATAAAATAACATCCATTAATATACGATAATCATATGCTTCACCATCGAGATCGTCCGTTATTTGACTACCAACTAATGTACGAATATTATTTGTAGTTTTCATTAAATATCTTTCAATATAGTCAATAAGACTATCAGAATCAGATTTTAACATTAAATAACAGCTGCTACGATCTATTAATGATTGATCTAATAAGCCTTTAAGCTTTGGTGGTGGATATTGAATGATTATGTAATGAATATGCCCATTTAGCGCCAATTAGCGCCGACGCTTCTGGAAGGAGTTTTAGGTTTTCCAAAAGCCCTTAGTTTTTTAAGTATTTTCTATTTTTCTCGGGCGAAAATGTTTCGAACTTTGATAAAAATAGCATATTCGGAATCAGCGCAAAAAGCTGCATCGACTGATGTACAATAAGAGAGGTTTTGGACCCCAACACGACAGATTTTACAAAATCCTGCAGCTGAAGACATTGTTCACGAAGTTTTCTACTGGATATTATGACATCAGTTGTAACATCAGGCACAAGCCTATAAAAAATTTCATATAGGTTTTCGAGTGTGCTCATTCTAGCGGCACCGTTTTCAAAGCCCAAAAATGGTTTTTAAGAGGTTTTCCGAAGATCCGGTCTCTGGGATACCTCTTATAAACCGTTTTTGGACTTTAAAAGTAGTGCCACTGGAATGAGCACACTCGAAAACCTATATAAAAAATTTTTGTAGACCTATACTCTGCATTAAAGAGATATGCTCGCCTGCCTAGCCAAAAATGCACACTGTGCCTCTGTTTCTTTTTCTGGCTTGACTTTCAGAGTTTCCCTACCAAAGGAACATTTTGCAGTAGTCTACCGTGCAGTTATTCAGTACATAGCGTCAACTGCACGCTATAAGATCATTACATGGTGCTGCTTTGGCTCTAAATTCTGACAATGCCAAAACTATTCCAATTCTGTTAACAGCAAAAAAATCTAACGATACATCAAAATACCAAGATTGAGAATATTCAACATTTTGTCCACGACGGATAGAAAAACTATCGATACGTAAAGAATAATTTGTTTTTAATTTTGGCTGAGCTGGTTATGACAGATATATGTAATATTTTGCTAAGCAACTTATGGGTGAGAGAGAAAAATAAAGTTTTTCGTCCGAAACAATATTTTGTTTATCTTCAAGGAATACAATAAATGATTGAAACACAATATTTCAACTAGAATGTGCCAGTGTTTTTGTTCGAACAATTACATTTAACCGAGCAGTTTGATATTCACATCGTCTGCCGTAATAAGACGCTTGACAAAGGCAATAGTAAAATGATGTTTTTATCGTTTGAACGGCAATTCCACTACCGTGATAGTACCATGCTAAAACTGTGCGTAATAAATCAGATTTTTTTGCCATAGGTATTTTTTGCTTAATCATTCTAGGCCACGAAATAAAATTTGATGCTTTGAAATAGAGAAAAATGTGCTTAATAATAACGACACAATTACGTACAACAGCCCCATTTGGACAGTTTGTCACACCATTACATTCTGTGTGTCGTGACTACAGAGTCAATCTGTTGGGTAATCTATTTCATCTGTTATGCTCGTATCCACTTCAAATGACAAATCGACAATACCATTGCAAATTTGTTGAAATAATCAACTTCTTCAATCCTCTCTTTTTCTTCTTCTTACTGTGAGCTTTGTAACACGTTAACCTCTTACTCTACCGTACAATCAATATTATTTAATGACAGATGAATATATTTCTGTAGCACTTAAATCTAAACAATTCTGCTGTTTCTCTTTTTTAGAACAGTCCCTGACGGTTCTTGGACAGTAATTTTATTATTTTGCTTCTATCGTCATTAAAGCTTGTCAGATTGGGGAAAAACCTTATACACAAATTAACCTGCTCTTCAAAGGTGAATGACCGAAAGTTTGACTTTTAAGAAACCTATTCTTTGAAGAACCGGTCCACTAATATTATTTTATTAGATTATTTAGCATTCGATAGACGACACTTCAAGGTTTTTCCAGCGACGAAAAATTAAAATCAAAAAAAAGCTTTTCCGATCCCATAAGTGGCGTTGCCCTTAACTGCATTCTTTGAAATAAAACTTATACCGCTCTCTCTCGACTTTGGAAAAAAACTCATACTAACCGTTTTGAACCTTTAAAAGAATCACGGACTGAGCTCTCCACTCCTTAGAATTGTTTTCTCGTTAAGCCACTACTTCTCGTAAGAAGAGGTAGAAGGGGTGAGGGTACCCCAAGGGGGAAACACCGTACTCCATACTCCATTACTGCGCAGAGTAAACTTTCACTCCGGTTCACTCCGCCACTCCGGAGTGGATGGAGTGATAAGTGGTATAACTCTCTTCTCTTGCATTTGTTGATCGGCTTTCTTCTCAGGAATAGTATGCGCAGCACTAATAAATGCTAACAATCCAAGTTCTTGAAAGTAGTGATAATAATAGTAGTTGAACAATAGGGACTTCCATCATATTGATTTTAAAAAACGCAGAACACACAAAAGAGAAAAACAGTCAAACACATACGTTGTCTATTCTTTTCTGCTTGTTGCTATAACTCTCGATAACCGATCAGATGGTAAACGATTGTTATTTGGTGTTAATAACCAGCAAGCTGTAGAGTTATGTATATATTTATCGGCATTGTTGACTTTTATCTTAAAGTATGAATTTTCGGCACCAGGTGGGACAGATTCGACTATTCTCATATCTGAAAATGTTGTATTTCTTACTTGCGCAAAAGAGTTCAGTGATATTTTGTCATCATCATCTTCGCTCTCAGAAATATTTTCACTTTCATCATCCTCACCATAATAATCATTGTTTTCGTCTCCACTGCTACTGCTTGTATCTGATTCATTATCCACGTCATCATCAGTCACTGCATTATCAGTTACATTGCTTGATGATCGTAAATTATTCGATATATATGCGGATAACGGTTTTAATTTATAAATATTATTTTGTTTTAACTATTTGCACATTTCTAAATTATCTATCAATACTTTTGCTGTTTCATACGCACTTAAAATAATTTTTTCTATATCATCTGTTGTTACATTGTCGATGTTATTGTGATTGCTATTTTTATTTAAATTTCGATTGTCTTTCAAATGCTTATGATGAATTGGAATAATAAACGATTTTTCATTATCACTGGCCATTTTGAAACATTTAATTTTATTTAATATGGATAACTTTTGGCCACGTTTAAGAAAATCGTTAACTGTAAAATTAACTATTGTTGAATATACTGCACTCCATGACCTTGTGTTTTGAAAACGGATTCACTAGGTTGCGAACTGAATAAATAAATACCGTTTACTGTATCTTTTGGTATTTTTTTTTCTAATACTAACATAATTATGTATAGTAAATTATGACCATTAATCTTAATAGAATATTGCGCTGTATTAGTGATAAAATGTTTTTCTATTGTTCTTTTATTAGCGGTATTATAGTACAATGTTAATCCAGCCCATCATAATCGGCATACGCAGATACAAGTCCATGAATATTTTAAGCGGTCAATGATTGTTGTTGTTTTATCAACATATGCTATAATAAGATAATTTAATAATTGTAAATAAACATACAGAGATTTTAGTATCAGGATTTCGATTTAATAATTTTAAAATTGTTGTTTATGAAATTTTAACATACGATGCATACTTTTGCCGATCTTTTGGATATAAATCGGAACGAACAAGACCGTGATCAAGTTTTGGACCTGTTTCTATCAGTTCATCTGGATAATCTAATTTAATAGTTTGACTACCCATCATCAGATCACATTTTCTTAAAATGCATATAAGAGCGTTTATTCCATTACCAGTAATCATTTCACGAGCATGTACTGATGAAGGTAATTCGAAACGCGTTTAGATCCTCGTGTACATTCTCCGTTTTCTGTTTTTAAAATTCGCCTTCATATTTATAAAATACATATATTTTTTTATTCAAAATAAAAACAAAAACCACAAAAAAAAGTTTTTTTATTATTTAATCAAGCAACGTTGTTCCATACTCATTACTATTCATGTTTATTCGTTTTTCTACGCCTTTCGCTTATTTTACCTTCCGTACACAAACAAATTAAAAAATCGAAAAACCAATTTTTAAGAAAATTTTGGTAAGTCTTTTCTTTTCGTTTCGTTCGTTGATTTTCTTCTCTTTCAATTTACTATTAATTGCCAAACATAGTCACATTGTTTTCATGTTGTGTTCTTTCTCATACTTATCAAAATTGTCTAAATGTCTGACTTAGATGCCTTGTCACTTTCTGGAGACAATGTTTTTGGTTAAAGTAGTATCTATTGACATAATTCGACGTTGGTTATATATTTATAATGAATGTTTAAAAGAATCAGTTCGTATTATTGGATTCGGCACGGATTGTGACGCAAAGTATTTGAAATCCATGAGACTTGTTAATGGGTTTTTTGCTATCGTACCTAATATTCCACTAATTGACAATAATGATGGTAATTTATTTGAAATCGATGTCATCCCGGTTATTTCTAAAGCTCAAACAACTATTACTCTTCATGCAAGATCCGGTACATTTATGCGCAAAATTGAGAAACAGATTATTATCAACCAAAGCTACTTTATTAACTGAAACTCAGCAAGTGAATATTAAACATTTAGAAGATTTAATTGATAATTCATATAAACTTGATCTTACTCTGATTAAGACTGATATTTTTCCAAAAGATAAACAAAATTTTACATTATTTTTAAAAATATCTTCGAAAGACGTATTAAGTACGTTAACTGGAAATTCAAATACAACAGCAACACGGCTTTAATTTAACCATTATTCATTTAACAATATTAGCATATATCGATAAAACAACATATGTTCGTGATCGTATTTATTTTGTGTGGATAACCGTTTTTATGTGTCGATTTTGGTATATATGGATTAGGTGTAATTCATTTAACACACATTTGTTCGCTCCTAGAAATAATTCAAAATCAGCAGTGAAAAATAAAAAGAGTGAGAATACAAATTTTTTTATCACAAAACCAACATTTTTCTCCATTGAATTAAATGCACATAATTTAACATATTTAACCATACTAGTAGTGAATAAACAATTGCAGGGCGGAGATTTCACCTCAAATACCTGAAATGTTTGGAAAAACCTGAAAACCACCTTACTTTTTGGCAGAAAACCTGAAATACCTGAAATTTCCAAAAAGTTTTAGACTAAAGACGATTTTCTTCGATTTCACTGAAATCAAAAACATTTCTATTATAAATGTCGAATTAATTAAATCAGTACAAATCATATCCTAATATACCTGCAGATCCTACGTATATATATGACTAAAAATATTACAGTACAAATATGACTAAAAACACGTATCTTTTTTTAGTTTTTTATCAGCAACATCTTTTAACAACGATTCTTTTCGTTTGAGTCCTTTTTGCAGTGACTTCGTTACTAGTTCTAGTTCAGTTGATACGTCAGTAATTTGTAGTCCGAAAAACCTCGCAGGTATTTCGAATTTTTCACTCTCATCCCTGCACATGGCTTAAAAGAAAAACTATGTACATTTATGCACATGAAAGACTTATGTACATATACATATATGACTAAGTGGTATGACTTATATATTATCATCCTTATACATACTAGTAATATATGCTAGTGCATTTATTCGTCTGTGTCGTCTTCAATGTGTCGACAAACTTGCGTACCAAGATATTATCTAGAGATGTTTCATCTTAGAAAATGATTTAAGAGACGGTTCGCGCAGCTATTAAAAAAGCGTGTAACATGGTCAGAATTTAAACAGTTTTTACAATCTCATTAGATAAAGCTTTCAAAGTTACCCATAAACCCAAGCTTTTAAACCTTAGAGGCTAAAATTCAGTGAGTTACCGATTTTATATGAAAAGCCCCATACAGAAAATCGAAAAAGTAGATTTTTGTCATATTTTAATTTTTTCTTGTTCTATTTCCTATCTTAAAAATCCGAGTTACACATGAATCGAATGAGCAGAAAAAGCTGAACAAGATAGGCTAGTTTCAGTAATATATCATATCCTTCAAGAACAGAATAGCGGAGTACCGTGAACACTTTTACAAAAGAACTGCTAAATGTGTCGAACGAAACTGTTTTTTGGCCTCCTGAATTTTTTTGGAAAAAACCTGAAAAATTTTACGCGCTTACCTGAAAAACCTGGCAGGTATTTCGAATTTTTCACTCTCATCCCTGCAATTGCCACTTAAATCGTTAAATATATATTTATTTAGTTCACAGTCCTGCGAAGCCTCGTTTCGAAATTGCAGAGCGTTATCAGGAACGTTTTCATCATCAACAAATTTTAGCGTACAGGAGTTTATCAAACGAAGTGAAAAATTACGAGAAAAAAGTATTATCTTTGGTTAACAGTGATGAACAAATAAGTATCTCGAATATAGAAGAATTGATTAACGAATCTTATGAATGTGCGAAAGGTTTCATTGAGGAATTAGATATGACGGATATTCTGACTGAGAACGGTTCATTTGATTACATGAATTAAGCGAAAACGTATCGAATAAATTAACACACACTGCACTCTAAGAAAATGCGACTTCAACGATGTATCTGCCGAGAAAAAGTGTCTTGTATGTGACTAGATTGCGTCTTCAAAATAATAGGTGTTTTCTATATGTCTTCAATGTGTCTACTGGTGGGCATATGGAAGTCACATTGGAGTCGCATGGAAGACGTGTGAACAAGAAAGACGCTTAGTAGTTACATCATCCCGCTTTCCATGTGTCTCTAAGTTTTTAATTAGTCACACACGAAATGTCAACTTAAGAGGCTAATAAGACTAATAACTAATGTGCCTGTATGGTTCAGCGGTGAACACATTAGTCTCGTAAGCGAATAGATCGAGTTCAATTCTTGACAGGAACAAAAAAAATTTCTTCGTCTTTTCTAGAAGACACATCAAAGCGACTTCGAAAAAGACGCTAAAATACGACTAAATGGGATCCGACTTACGTGCCTTAAATGCGACTAGAGCAAAGACGCTATAAAGTGACTACAAGGTAAAGTCGCATCATGGGCTTTCAAAGGAGAAAAGCATACACAAAATATCAAAAGCCACTTAATAAGTAACGGATTCAATTACACTCCACGCGTTCTTTACAACTTTGAGTATTTTGTTGAGTGTCGAGAATAGACGGATGACTTTCTGGTAGTGAAAGTTGTTCTATGTTTAATGCTTTCTCAAAGTTAATTAATGCTTCAGAGTAGTTTCGAAAACCATCTCGGTAAACCACACCGATACTATTGTAAGTGTCAGCTGTATGAACATGATTTGGTATACATGCTAATTGAATGATTAGTGCTTCTTTGCAGTTAGCCATGGCTAATTCATATTCCTTTTTTTCATGGTAGACATTGCCAATGTTATTTAGTACAGAAGCGATAAGAGGATGATTTTTCGGTAGATTATTTTGTCTAATTTGGAAACATTCATTGTAGTTAGATAGTGCCAAGTCATAATTTTGTTGACTATAGTATACACCACCAATGTTATTGTAAACCAGTGCTGTCCGGGAATGATCGTGCCCAAAAATTTTCAGTTTTAGTTCTAGAGATTTCGAATAGTTTTCTAAGACTCTGTCATGTTCTCCTTTTTCGCGTAAAACATTGCCAAGGTTCATGTAAATACCAGCAATTACGGAATTACTAACAGAAGATAACTAGTTTATAAAATGTCATTAGGAATACTTGTTAAAAGTGATAGTCAAAAGAAATTATTATGATGATGCTTATACATTATTACGGATTCGGAAAATGCTATCAACATTTGGCCGATGCCCTAGGCGTCGATTCTTATATAAGCATCAGTTAAGAATCTTATAAGAAACTTATAAGTACCCAATAAGATTCACGTAAGAATCTTACCTGATTCTTATCAAATTCTTATATAAGATTACGCAGGAA